GGGCGCATCCTTGTCTATGGTTATAAGCATGTTGGTTATGTCCCAATTTGTCTCTCACCTGGTTTTCTGGCATCGTGTTTACATGGCGAAGAATCAGTAACCAAAGATGATCTTTTTACATCTTTTACTTACTACATAACAGCTGATGAAAGAGAAGTAATGGAAAAATGCTTATCAGGAGAAGTCGACTGTGATGATGAAGATGTCCTGGACTTGTTGTCAAGCTACAAGTGTTTCAGAAAGGCCACCAAAGAAACATTCAAAGACATTTTGTATGAGCTGGCACACCAGGAAATAATACAAAGGCCGCAATACATAGCCAAGGCATGGGGGCCAATCCTCAAAATCTTCAGGAAAGATGAAAACTTTTCCGATGTTCAGAGCATTCGGAAACGTTTCTTGGACATGAAGCCGACTGCAAAGAAGGTTCTTAAAGTTCTCAAACCGAGTATCAACACTGACGCTGAAAAACAAAGCTTTGAATTTTTAAAAAAATTCATCAAATCGTTGGATGCTTCTTCACTGAAAGTGTTTTTGAAATTTGTCTCAGGAAGTGACGTCCTCATTCATAATGAAATACAAATTTCATTCATTGATGTAGACGGGTTGCAAAGAAGACCAATCTCTCATACTTGTGGGCCTCTTTTAGAAGTACCTTCCACATACCAATCCTACAATGAGCTTTGTGAAGAGTTCACAAGTGTGSTAAGAGACAAGCAGTCATGGACATTTAACATTGTATAAGCGTTATTTGCCCTTGCTAATAGTAGCTCTTACTTAAAAGTTATATTGTAAAAAAGTTGATATATTGCAAATCAGATGAGATGATGCTGATTGCAAGTTGATTTTGATTAAGAAAGTTATCAAATTACAGTTAGTTAATGTATTGCAAATCAGATGAGATGACACTGATGATACGTTGATTTTGATTAAGAAAGTTATCACAAGTTAGAGTTGTTAGTTAATTTATGTTTTAATATCCGAAATGGGAGAATCGAGGCTGGAAATTCAGTGCTGCATTGAGCGGGCTAGTTTGCTGGGCAGTAACGAAACATTTGAGATGGAGTTAAAATGGCTGAGGGGAAAACCCCAAAGCCGCTTTTAATTTCAAAATAACGATCTTTTAATTATTAACAATTTATCCTGTCTCAAAAATACAAACTGACCAGCAAAGGTGCGGGCAGATAAAACGGCAACACAGAGGATAGCCAGGGGAGGGAGGCGGGTGATTTGTTGAAGACCAAAAGAACCAACCTTGCCTGGCGTCAGTGAAGTCCAAGTGATATTACTAGGCACAGTGTATTCTATTGTCTGCCCCTACCTTAGGGCCTCTGATTGGCCAATTTTTAGATAACAATTTGATAAACTATATAAGGGCGTATTGCACAAAATCATATGACTATACAATACCGGTATACATCCAGTGGTTAAATAACGCTACGTGACCGCGAGCTAATTGGATCAATATATTCGACTATCAAAACATAAATCGCCTATTTGTGCCAAATATAATATATATTGAAAATCAGATGAGATAACGCTGATTATAAGTTGATTTTGATTAAGAAAGTTATCACAAGGTACAGTTAGTTAATATATTGCAAATCAGATGATAAGTTGATTTTAAGTACATTGTTGCATGTTTAATAAACTTTTTATAGAGTTGTAATGCAAATKCCTGACTGACTAGTTTTYTTATGTTAATTATGACAAGGTTCAATGCTAGTATCTTAGGGTTATRGCACCAAATTGTATATTGCCATTATTTCGCTGCATATTTTCCCAATAACTGTCAAAACCTATTCAATAAACRGAATAGTMATAAGGACAKGTACAGTGCTTTTATTATATCCGTGAAACACTTTATACGAAATTGAACAAAATTGCACTAATTAGGATAAATATTTGACTAAAATGAAAATTTAAATTGGTTCGGCTGAATTTAGTGCGACGTATTTATAAAGGGGAAACGTCAAACTAAACTTCGGCCCAACCAATTTAAATTTTCGGACTAGAGAAATAGTTATCTTACATTTGCACCTTTCCTTGGAATCATTTTGCTAAATAGACATGTCTTGAMCTTGCCTCCCTMGCATCAGTTTTTAGTGTCRGGCTTCCTGTGTCCCTCCCCACAAACGGATGCGAGGGAGACTAGTCTTGACCAATATTGGGAAAATATGAAGCTGAATAATTGAAAAACAAATTTGGCGTGACTGAATTAAGTACATGGTTAGCTTGACCGTTTGCCCTATGCCTTACTTGTTTAGTCTTCAATGGATCTTCTAACATACATAGGATGCCCAGAAATCTACACTCACAAAACTCTGAAAAATAAACTTTACAATTGCGATTATTTATGGTAAAGCCCTGCACTATTTCAAATGTTTGGGTCATTCATGAAAAGGAGTATTAATTCCAGTGTACTTGAGGTCATGTGATTTCCTACTAATTACTAATTACAAATGGTCAATGTGATTCAACAAAGCAAAATATAGATATCTTGCCTCTAAAGGAGTTACTGGCATTACTAGTTTCTCCTCTTGCATAATAATGTTTGCTAGTGCCAAAAAGTYTTTACTGCAATCCAATGTGGAAATGTTTCTTTCACCCAGGAGCTCTTCGCATATGCTGATGTCATCTTCAGGAACAGTGACAATGAAATTTTGGGTGTCTGTGATTTCAGGGAGTAAATAWAGTAAATCAGGACRGCCCGAGGGTGATTCAYTGTTGCTTGATGGTCTTATAGAGTGGTTATTCCAAAGTCTTGCAACACGTTGCAATTCCTCCCTTAGCACTCCCATATAACAAAATTGGAGGCAATTGACATGGACTGGATTGGAGTHGCAATAAAATCCACCGTCTCTTAGTTCTTTAAAATGTTTGATCCACCATTCTGTGCACCCCTTACGTAACTGTGACCACCATGCTTCTATTCTCTGATTGGACACAGAACGAMCATACATAAAACTTTTGTCTTTTGCGAAGGAGTTGCATGAATTGTTCCTCAAAAAACGTTGAAATGCAGCCACATAAGTGTTCTCAGTCCCTCTGTCGGCGCGAACAATACAAGGAGTACCCCCAACTTGATTTACACAATCCATGAAATATTTTGCTATAATGCCAGGGTCATTGTTTGACAATCCTACTTCTAGCCACAAAATTCGTCTGCTATAACCATCTATTGCTCCATGTATACAAAATCCAAAGGGTTTTAATTTGTCATACCCATCGATGTGCCAAAGAAAATTTGGCCCTCGTCCTTTATATTGTCGCCTTTTGAGCCTGTGACGCAACCTTTGATCAACACCGTCAGGATCCAAGATCCTCATAGCTTGTCTTACCGTTTCTTTTCCAACTACCAATCCATGTTCGACCACAAGCCGTTGCCACATGGACCGGTATCCCACATTACATCCGCTGTATTCGAGTTCGTGTTCGATGTGTTGTTTGTTTTACTTTATTCTTTACAGACTCTCTGGCCTGATTAAATAATTCTTTGAGTATAAGCAGAAACTCATAAGGGGATTGAAACGTGTAGCAACAGTACATTTCTTTGGTTCGATGCTCYGGAATATTCAAAMCGCCARTRWATCAACTGAAGTCATTTTACAACCATATTTGGAACAATCAAAAAAATTTCTGGCCAATCACAGCATAATGCCACAGGAACCCCGATTAATAAAGAAATCACGATTCAAAATGGCGGGCAAAAGGAAGAAGGCTAAATCAAAGTTGATGACAAAGTCAAAGTTAAATGAACTCCTTTCGCAGATAAATTGTAAATCAAGCGAAGAAATTCATACAGCTACAATCGGTGTAATGGAATCGAACTGGAAAATCCCATTGAAGTTAGAAGATTGAGTGAGAGAGAGTGAGCTCAAAAACTGCAAAGAAATCGGTTCGTGTTGCAAAGCACTTTTCGATGAGCTAAAAAAAGGAGCAGATAAGATGCCCAAAGTTATTTCAAAGTGGGTTTGCCTGATGGATTCTGTTATCAATGACCCAGATCACTCGCTAAACAAAGCCTTAGGTGAAATTTTTATTAGCGAGGAGCAAGTTAAGAAAGTTTGTTCTTGTATTGTTATGGCAGTAAAAGACACTATGAGAGCCAAAAACCAAAGTCAGTGTCGATGACAAAACATCTCTCTACAGACTTGGCTCTTATGCGTATTCAGGATTAAAAAAGTGGATTGGAAGAAAATTAAATCTAGACTTTCTTCAAAGAAAACTGTGAAAATTATGAAGTCCACTCTCAAAATTGTCGAAGTTTTAGAAGAAACAAACTAATCAAACTTTCCTCCATTTATTCAACAAAAGAGGAACCTTCTTGTTATGAAAAGTTGTCTTCTTCCTTTTCTACGTATGTTTTCTGAATAGTTCCAGTTAGTGGTAACTTTTCTTCCTATTCGAAATATGGCAAAGATGTCTTTAAGGTAGCAGAGAAACAGCTGATTCATAACAAAATAATTGAACTTAATCTCACTAAAATTTTATGTAAGAGCGACCTGAAGTCTCCTAAAAGTGATCTCAAGAGATTTAAAAAAGAATTTACAAAGAAGATTTTCGATGTTCGTTGCAAGGCTTTTCTGAAAAGCATTGAGTTACTAGAAGAAGAGAAGCAGGGGAGAGCTATGGATAGAGATGTGATGCTTCGACAGAAGTTAAAAGTGGACCATACAAAGAAAAAAAAGTGCACTTAAAGTAAGTGTCACATTGTGTGCACATCTAAAAAAATCACTTCTTATATAAATATCATAACAACTTCTAAAATAATCCATTTGAAAATGAAACAAAGGAAAAAATAGTAATAATGTAAACAATACTCTCTGTAGTACTCCACATCAATACCTAATTTTTTTCTGGGATGTAAATGTGTACAGTTTGTACACTTAGTAGCACTAAGCAGTAGCACTTAGTAGCACTAATTTTTATGTGTAAAAGTTATTGAGCAGCTGTACTCCCAGGTAGATATATGTCCTAAAACTGTATTATTGAAATACATGCAGCTATGGGGTAGATCTGGAATCAACTTTAGGATGGAGTGGTCCATTGTAAATCAGCAACTGTGGAAAATATATTTTTTTTAAATATCTAAAAAAAGACCACTATTCATCTCAAGTGGATAAGCATCCCCTATACCCCTCCCCTAAATATCCCTGGTAGCTAGAATTTTTTCAGAGAATCTTTTGCATACAATATCTTCAGACATGCATACCTGGGTATTGAGTTGAAGCAATTTTAACATTGAGTGTAAAACAGACAATTTACAGTACCCTCCTGCTTAGCCTTGACTGTGAGCAAATTAAAACAGTGCATACATGTACCAATGAACACATAGTGAACAGATCAAATACTTTTAACTTCCAGGGTTTTTGTTAAAGAACTGTACTGTTATAATTACACTAATTTTCATGCCCCAAAAGAGGGTCTGTAACAATGCATACTAAATGCTAACCTCCACATGAAGTAGCAGTTGATAACTGTACAAATATGGAAGTCATTTTACTTTATACATGTTTAGAAAAAGATTGAACAAGAAAACAATTTTGAATCAATTTGTCCTATTGTTTAGCTTAGCATGACTTAGTGTTATGAAACAAGCCATTAGTTTTTTTGTTCCACATGATTATGGCTATATTTTCAATCATCACAGGTTGAGCAATCATATAAAGGCTGCAATGTTTAATTACTGCTGTACTGGTTTCTTTCGTTGTGGCTTTCTTAGCTTGCGCTGTCTGATGTAGAGTGGAGCATTTCTGTATCTTCTTTTTCCTTGAAATCATGCAGAAATCTTTTCAGTGTAAGGGATGCCAGGGCATGACCATAATTACTACCTGATAAATTGCCAGAGGTTGAAAACCTAAGTTGTGAAAATAGGGTTTCTACTGCGCTACCATTTATTCTCAGAGGAAGCACATAATATCCAGGAAAACGTTGAAAGTACTCTTTGCAAAAGTCAGTAAAGCCATAGTACATCAGCCTCAGTAGGTCCCATGTCTGAAATATCAAATGATTCAATGTTTTATATAATAAAAGGAAGTATAATCCTTTAACAATTTGTATTTTTTTTTCTGAAAGCAGATAAGTACAAAGCTGTTAAATGCTTTCATTGGGTAGTCAGTAATAAAGAATTCACACTTCTTTCTTTTTCCATTGTTTTGATAGAAATTTTGACAAGTATTGAATCTTCCTTTATTTATTTCTATCTTTCTATTTTTCTTTCTTTCATTCCTTCTTTTGTTTTCCTTTCCCTTTTCTTTCTTTTGACTAACCTGCCAAGCCAAAAAGCATGTTTGACTGGTTGAAGCAAGCTCATGACCTACAATGATAGTAAAATAACATCTACTGTAGCAGTATGTTTGTCATGGCATTATATTTGTTAATAGTTAATGATATCAAAATGTCTTTCACACCTTCACCATAACAAAAATTTGCCCAGCCTATGAAGAACAACATTCCATCCTTCATGTGATCAAGAACAGGACTATTATTATTATGTATCTTATCATGACTTAGATTCCAAATTCGAACATATACTGGCAAGCTTCAAGGTATTAAACCACCATTGATGTTTGAGCTGAATCAGGAGGGTTGGTAGCAATGTACTCTTTGAGTTCTCCAATAACATGGTCTTTCTGCAAGCAAAAAGAATGGAAAAAATTGGTATTTGAATAAATGTATTGGTTATTGTATCTTTAAAGTCATGTATATCCATTTATTTACTTGCATCACTTTTGCTGGTTGTACATTGAGTCTTGTCCACGAATCTCTGAATACAAACCGGTATTTCAATCTAGGTACTTTGCATATAAAACCAAAACTAAATTTTATCCATTTATTTCTTATCAATTATAGTGTAAACAGCAGTAGAACTGGCCACTTATTTGTTGGCTACACATGCATTCAAACTGCACATAAAACCAAAAATTAATTTTATCTATTTATTTATTATCAAGTGCTATGTAAACAGCAGTACAACTGGCCACATGGTCTTTGAACATGAAAACAAAAATCAATTTTATCTATTTATATTTATTTATTATCAAGTGCTGTGTAAACAGCAGTACAACTGGCCACTTATTTGTTGGTCTTTGAAATAAATTTTATCTATTTATATCTATGTAGGTTTTCATTTTTTTTTAATTATTGATCAATCAAAAAAAATCAGTTAATCATCAGCTGCACTTTAATAATAACTGAAAATTTTAGAATTTCAAATTTATAATGGACATGATCTAAAAGGGTTTTTAGTATACACTGTATATTTTATACAATCCAAGAAGCATTTTTATAAATTAGTTGCTGTTTTAGTGAACCCTACCCTAGTGACAGACAAAAACATACAAATTCACACTAAAAGCAATATTTATTTCCATAGGTCAATATGCAACATGATGTAATCATCAGACCCCTGAATCTTCAATATTCTCAAATATTMAAAGCACATAATTTGTGCTGAGGTTCACCTGTCCAGCAATGTTCCACTCTCCATAGTGATAACTCATTGTTAGTTCTCCTTTCATGTACCTATAGTATGAATGCAAAGTCTTTCATGGCATCTACCACCACAGACACTTTATGGCCAGCAGGTCTTATCTCAGAGGATAGTGCTTGTTTGAAATTCTTGGATACTACATCACTTTGTACACCCATTAAAAGGCGAAACAGCACAGTTTTTACAAAACAGTTTCAGGCGCACATGTCTTGACCACACTCTTGAAAGGTTCTTGAAAATGATAATTTAGTCCTTGAATCAGTCTTGGTTGTTGTAAAGTAATGTTTTAGGGATCAATTTAGCCAAGCTTTGGAGAAAAATGAGATCAGATCAGATGTATGTTCAATGTTTACAAATATTTAGCTCATATTAATTAGTTGTGCTGAGGTGCTCCAGCAATGTTCCATTCTCCATAGTGATATGAAATGGTAAGTTCTCCTTTCTTATATTTGTACATAATGACAAAGTGTTTTGCTTTCATCAGCTAGCACAGATACTTTGTGACCAGCTCTCATCCCAGAGGATAGTGTGCGCCTGAAGTTCTTGCATACTTCATCACTTGGTAGACCAGTTAGAAGAGAGAACAGCTCTTTGACAAGTCGTATGCTTGTAAAGGATATCGCCTCTGCCTTTTTATTTTTACTAAGGTAGCAAAATGGAGGAGCAAAACCATCCGAGCCACGCACTACACTGACTAGAACATTAAAAAATTCGCGTGGAATAGATCGATGTATTTCGGCATAAAAGGGCTTACGAACAGATCTTCGGCCACTGAGTCGGCGATAAATACAGTCGAGCCACATTTTCCCTTCAGTTTGGATAAGCGAGCCAGCATGAATAGATTTATCAAGTAAAGGTCTTGCAGTTGAATCGTTGGAACTAAACTCCCACAAAGGC